TATTACATCTTTATCTCAGATGAGGTTGCTTTCTATGGTCTCCGTAGCTTCTCATAAGGTCCCTGGTGTTCATACACAAGTATTAAATGTATTCGAGGTCAAGCTGCAGCAGCCTGCATGCTGAGGCTGCCTGGACCTGCAGTGTCTGTTTATACCAGCACAGTCTAGTTAGCTTGTTAAGCCATCTTGTCTGACATCTGCTGGGGCCATCCAGAAGGCCAACATTTGAGTGAGCCCACTTTCTACACTCTGTCTTTGCTGAAGCCTGTGTGCCTCCACTTCCTCCCCTCCTTTCTCCCTCTTTTGTGAGGACTGCAAACCTTCACTAAAGCCCTGTATTGCAGCCTTACATTCCCATGGACAAACATACTCTAAACTTCAGGTCAAGATCCCATGTGCCTTCATATGGGTGGGTATAGGCAAATGGAATATAAATGCATACATAGGTAAGAAGAGATAATCTATGCTGTTGTTAGGTGCCAATGAGTCAGTTCTGATTCACAGTAACCCTGTGTACAACAGAATGAAATACTGCCTGGTCATGTGCCATCCTCCCAGTCCTTGCTATGCTTGAGTCCATTGTCACAGACACTGTGTCAATCCATCTCATTGAGGGTCTTCCCCTTTTTCTCTGACCCTTCACTTTACCAAGCATGGTATCTTTCTCCAGGGACTGGTCTCTTCCGACATGACCAAACTATTTGAGTTATACATCCAACCTAAGGGGTTCATCTTCAGACACTACATCAGGAAATATTTCACTGCTATTCAAAAGTTTTTCAGTAACATATCAGATAATGTTTCACTGCTATTCACAAGGTTCAGTGGCCATTTTTTTCAGAAGTGGATGGCCCCATCCTTCATCTCAGTGTCAGTCTGGGAGCTCTGGTGAAACCTGTCCACCATGGGTAACCCTGCTGGTATCTGAAATAGCCGTGGCATAACTTCCAGCATCATAGCAACATGCAAGCCACCACAGTACGACAGACTGACTGATGAGTGGTGGGAAATATCTACAGGTGCATGTAAATACAATTATGTGAGTGCAGGCATATATATCAGAGTGGCACAAAATAAAGGATATTACCCATACTGCACTGGGCAAATCTGCTGCAAAAGACCTCTCTAATGTGAAAAAGGAAAAAGATGTCACTTTGAAGACTAAGGTGCACCTTATCTGAGCCATGGTCTTTTCAGTAGCCTCATGTGCTTGTGAAAGCCGGACGATGAATAGGGAAGACCACAGAATTGATGTATTTGAATCACGGTGTTGTCTAATAATGAATGTACCATGGACTGCTAGAAAAATGAAAAAATTCATCTTAGAGAACATACATTCACCAGAATGTTCCTTAGAAGTGAAGATACCTAAACTTTGCCTCTCATATTTTGGACATGTTACCAGGACGGATGAATCCCTGGAGAAGGACATCATGTGTGGTAAAGTAGATGGTCAGTGAAAAAGAGGAAGACCTTCAATGAGATGGACTGATACAGTGGCTGCAATAATGGGCTCAAGCTTAGCAATAGTGAGAATGGCTCAGGACCAGGCAGTGTTTCATTCTATTGTACTTGAGCTCACTATGGATCAAAACTGACTTGACAGCACCTAACAACATGTAAGATCACTGCCCTACAGAAAAATCACCAGTTTGAGCCCAAAAGCTCAACTATTTCTCAAAAGCAAAGATGAAAAGATAAGAGGGCAGGGAAACTAGAGTACTGGAAAAGCAACAAACAGAACACAACTAAAGGGAATGTTGACATATTGTGATGAAAAATTTGTATAGAATTTGCCAAATGAGAACCTAACTTGTATAAACTTTCACCAAAAACTCTAATGCCAGGCTCCAGCCTCCCCCCCGTCTCTCCACTTGTATATTGTGCTCCCACAAATTTCATTCCTTGTTTTATTCCTTTATGTGCAGACACAAGAAAGTTGGGAGTTTTAGATTTTTATCTCCTTAAATACCAAGCTCCTCCCTGTCCTCCCTCTATACCCTCCTTTTACCAATAGTCTGTCCTTTACAATTTACAGTATGGGAAGAGCAATCAAGAGTATCTGCTCTCTGCAAGCAGTTTAGCTCTGGAGAGAAAAGACTGGCTATGCAATGGCCACAAGTGCTTGGGTGTTGCAAATAGTTAACATGCTCTGCTACTAAAAAAAAGCTTTAGATTCAAGTCCACCGAGGTTCTTCAGTAGAAGTTTTGGTAATCTACTTCAGAAAAATCAGCCATTAAAAACTCTGGAGCTCAGTTCTACACTAATCACATGGGTTCAGCATGAGTCAGAATGACTCAATGGCAAATGGTTTATGCAATGACTAGCTTCCCCTTTCAATCTTACCATTTCAATTAAGTCACGCCATCTCCCCTGGGCAGATCCAGTAAAATGGCCAGGACACCATGAGTTTTAGGCTGATGGAGGCCTCTCCAAATGGAAGGAAAAAAGCAATGGATGGGAAGTGTTATCCCACAATAGAATGACAGTAATAATACATGTTATCTTTTTATCACTTTTTTTAGACTTTTAAATATATTCCAAGATTTCTTCCCTTTGAACTTTTCCTTATGCTATTGCCTCAAATGCTATTCTCAACCTTAAGAAACCTGTCAAAGGCCATCTTTCTTGAAACTCCGATTTCTTCAACCTGATAAAACCTCTCTCCTAGTCCAATGCTTTGCAAAGTTTGGTGAGGACCAAGCACAACAGAATCCCTGGAGTTTGTTTGTTAAAAATATCATAAGCCCATCCATGGTATCAAAATGTCTCAGGGCAGTGTCCTGGAATGTGCATTATAAGACATTACTTGGATTATTCTCCAGTGCATTGAAGTCCACACACTTTGTTCCTGTTACTCTTTTGTTCTATTCCATGAACTGGTTATTTGCATTTACTCCCCTGTAGAGGGCCAGTAAAACAGAGGTACACCCTCAATCAGGAAGACTGACAGACACAATGGTTGCAATAGCTTAAACTTAACGATTGTGAGGATGGCACAGGACTGGGTGTGTTTTGTTCTGTTGTGATAGGGTCCCAGCTGACTCACTAGCACCTAACAAGATCCTTGGGGAAGATACTTTTTCCTTCCCCCAACAATGACTCCTTAACATGAACTTTGCATGTAATGGCTGTTCAACAAAAAGTTGTTAATTAAGTTTACTAATATTTACCCTTGGGAGCTCTGGTAGCATAGTGGCTAAGGCACTTGACTGCTAACCAGAAGGCAGGCGGTTCAAACCCACCAGCCACTCCTCGGAAGGAAGGTTGGGCAATCCTACTTCCGTAGTGATACTGCCTCGGAAACCCAAGGAGGGGTCGCTATGAGTCGGGGCCGACTCAACGGCAAACAACAACAACAACAACAACAACATTTACCCTTGCTTCTCAAAATGACTAGAACATTTTCAATAGTTTGTCCTACCTGCTAAAGTGTAATAAACATACATGAAATAACTATAAAGCAACTGAAATATATTAGTGCTTCATCATGTACTGTCTTAACAATGTGGCCAAAATTATGCTGTTTGAGCTGATCATTTCAAATACAATACGTTGTTGTTGTTATGTGCCAGCAAGTTGGACCTGACTCATAGCGACTCTTCCTTGGGTTTCCGAGGCAGTATCACTACAGAAGTAGATTGCCCCACCTTCCTTCCAAGGAGTGGCTGGTGGGTTTGAACCACCAGCCTTCTGGTTAGCAGTCATGTGCCTTAGGCACTATGCTACCAGAGCTCCTAAACCAAACTCCCTGCCGATGAGTCAGATCCAACTCCGAGGCTGTAGCACTAGGGAAGTAGGCTGCCCAACCTTCCTTCCAAGGCTGGTGGGCTTGAATCGTCAGCCTTCTGACTAGCAGTCATATGCCTTAGGCACTACACCACCAGAGCTCCTGCCTTCAAATGCAATATAATTTATTATAAATCTCTAAGCAATTTTTCCCACACAATAAAGAATTGTTTTTAAAAAACTCAACATTTCTTCACTATATCCTATTGCATTTTTGTCTGCTTAATTTCATGGATCCAGCCTTTCTACAAAGCAATGTTTTTCTCTGGGTTTAGCTCGAGTGTTTACTTAGAATTAACCAACTGCCCTCGAGTGGTTGATTTTTCAGAAGTAGACTGCCAGGGCTTTCTTCCAAGGTGCCTCTGGGCAGATTCACTTAATTGAATATCTAAATGCAGACTGAAATCAACAGTGTGCAAGGGTCCCTAGAGCCTTAATGCAATCTCTGGCTGCACTTGTTACCATTTATAAAATTTTACCATGCAAATAAGATTTACACATTTGTAAATTACTATACATCCCTATTGCTTGTAATGATTACTGCAAGGCTTTCCCATTTTGCAATTATTGCTGAGGAAGAAGTAGAAGGCAGGAGCAGCAGCAGAACCCGAATAGCTTCCTTTAGCTTCACAGGTCAACCAACAGGGTAAGACATTCCAGTGATAACACTCTTGAACTACAGGGTCCCAGAGAATCTGGAAAGCTTAATTCTTGCTGTGACACTGCTGGGTTTCCATTACCATTTGAAAGATCTTACACTAACAAGCTATGTGTTTCTATTTAAGTAAATGTTTATAAATACCCCCACAATCTGAGTTCTTAAACCTATTCTGCTTATGAAGGCCATCCTTATTTGGTGGGGGCAGAAGGCAGTTTCAGCCCCAATGTTTCCTGAACAAAATCTCTGCTCTCACATTTCTGCAAAGTCCATTTCCCTATAACATGTACTTAATTAAAAATAAGTAAACAAAAAGTTCAAGGGGACTATTTGCCTCCATTGTTAAAATAAATTTTAAAACCATAATAGCTGATTACTAAACTGAAGCATTTCAATAAAATACTTCCCTGAAAGCTCTGCTCCTGTTTTTAACACGTTTCATACAAACTTCATATGGTACTAAGTAATACATATTTGAGCCTATTCCAAATAAAACATGGTTCCTTCAGTTCTTCAGGCTTCAGTTCCTTCAGAGGCAAATAAATGTCTGATTTAATTTTTTTCTTGTATTTTTTGAAGAAGATATTCCATTTGCAAATTCAAATTTGGCTGGCCTTTTTTAGTCTTTTTGCTCAGTATTTTGAACACTTCCATCTTTTTCTTTCTGTAGAGCCTCTGAGCTTCTTCTCGTTCTTGTTTTCGCCTCTCAAATTCCTGAAATTATTAACATGTCATTTTCATTAGTAACAGCTGATACAGTTCAGAAATTATTTTAAAATACTTACCACCATGCGAATTCTTTAAGGTTTGCCTCTTATATTTTGCAAAAATATGCACTGTTTACCACAATTGAAGTAATATATCCTCTTTGCCTTCATACTTTATGACATGAAATAATAAAAGTTTTAATTATTGGTATGTGAATAATAGGAGAAGGCTTATATTGAAGTAATGACTTCACTATTAAATTTTATTTATCGCATCTTGTTTCTTCTTCAGTTGTCTATTTTATAATTTTGTAGATTGGCACTAGGAAATTTGGTGGTGTAGTGTGTAAGGCATTTGACTGCTAACCCGAAGGCTGGTGGTTCAAACTCACTAGCCACTTCTCCAAATCTACTTCCATAGAGATACTGCCTTGGAAACCCGAGGAGGGGTCATTATGAATACTTTCACATCATGGCACATTCCATTCTTTTAAAACTTACATGACAGAGATTATTATCCTGTCTGTGTGATACAAAAGTGATTTGTGCAAGGTCCCAGATTACTGGTAGAGGTGAATCTCATATCTGTATCTTGAATTCAAAGTCTTTACAACTTCTCATTATGCTATGCCATATCACTTAAAATTATATTCTCATGTGGTATAGAAGTTATTTGTTTTAATGTGTCAATAAAGATCTAGACCTTATTTGTGTTTAGGTATGTGAAGTCTAGTTTATACCTATGAGTTTCTCTAAGCAAAGCCAAAAAAAGAAAAATTCAATATTCTTATAACTATGGGTTCTTATTTAATGAAAGAAGCTCTGGTGGCGTAGTGCCTAAGGTATTTATCTGATAACCAGAAGGCTGGTGGTCCAAACCCACCAGCCACTCCTCGAAAGATTGGGCAATCTACTTCCGTAGCGATACTGCTTCACAAACCCAAGGAGGGGTTGTTATGAGTCGGATACGAGTCAACGGCAGTGAGTTTGGTTTTGGTTTGTATTTTATTAAGGTCGTTAACAATTTGATTTTTCATTGGCAATGGTTCTGACTTTTATAGTAACATTTAGAATCTGTAAGTTTTAAGAAAATGTCAATTTTCATGATTACAGTGAATATTAGGTCTACCTATGTAAAGTAAAATTTGAAAGGGTATTTACTAAATGTTTCATAGCATAATGGTCCTTATTGTACTTCATCTGGTACACTATTTCCAAAGGTGGATTCGTGTGGTATATACGAATTCCGATGGTTAGATGAACGCATAAGATAACAAGCTATGCAGCAAAGATGCAGCACTTCCATGGAGAAATGTTTCTACTTGATCCTACTCTACCAGCAGTTTCAGAACACCTATAAAAATGTGAGATGTTAAACTTTCAAATTTCTTAATTACATAAATTCCAGAGGGAAAAAAAAAGGAAACGGTATCAATACTATCTTTAGGATATTTTTGATGGATGTGCGAGCCTTTTGAAGTAACAGGATCAAGAAAACTTCACTATGGAAAACAAGAATTATCCACTATGTCAACAAGATGATCATTTTGCTCTACAAATTTGAAAAAGCTTATTACAAACTTGGGTTTCTGAATGATAACGAAGAGTTAAGAACTTTTTTGATTAAGTTAAACTAGCAAGCTTTCCAATAAGCAAGACTAATAACTCTTTATAGTAAAGAAATGCTTTTAAACATTTTACCACCTCTCCTGTGGCTGGCTTATTTCAATGAACATTGTCTATATTTGTCTTAGTTCAGTGGTTTTCAAGCATTATTTATTGTACCTAAGAATCTCATGAGGTACTTGTTAAAAGTGCAGGTTCCTAGACCATATTCTGAGAAACACCCTACCAGATGCTCCAATTAACCTACAAGTTAATTCTATTCTTGACCTACTAGTATCACCTATGAGATAATATAAACAATCAAAGAATCTGACTACTGAAAATCAACTCTGCTCAGACCATTCATTCAGTCACCTAATATTTACTGAAGGCATACTATGCACACAACACTTTTAAATACAGTTTACATATACACTTAAATAAGGGAATTGTGGTAGTTAAATTTGAATGTCAACTTGGTTGGGCCTGGTTGAGTGGCTTGGCAGCTGGTGGTAGTTATTCCCCATGATGAGACTGGCAATCAACTCCACAGTGGGATCTACCACAAGCAGTTGAATAGCTGCCTTTGGGATGTAGTCTGCTTCCTGTATTTAAGGAGAAGCCTTGGGGATAGTCTCCAGCTTATGGCATGCTTAGACCCTGCATGTAGCCATGTCATTGTTCAGCAGTCTGCCATGCTCTGCCAACCCTGGGACTTAAAATGGACATGAATTAATGGCCTGCCATGTAGTTTGGTAACATCAGTACTGTGCCATTTTACTTGTCGACCTTGGGCTTGTTAGCCTCAGCAGCCAGTAGCTGCCTGAGTGAAGATATGCCTCTAGCTTCAGTGGGCTGGGAGCAAGAGGCAGAGCTGAAGCCCAAGGTCAAGGGGCCCTCACACAGCCCCTAGAGCCTGGCACTTTGAAGTTGACCTTAAAGCCTCCAAACTATGAGAGAATAAACTCTTGTTTGTTAAGGCCATCCCATTTGTGGTATATTCTGTCAGATGGCACTAGGAAACCACAATAGGAATAGAGCTAAATATTGAAAAACAGAACTTACCTGTTTCTTTGCAGCACGCTTGGCCTGTACGTGTGCATATTCTTCTTGTGCCTTTTGATTGGACGTTTTCTTTTTATTTTTCTTTTGAGTTGCAAAGGAGCTTTATAAGATAAACAAACACAAATAGGTCACAAGGACTAAAAGCAACATACCTGAAAATATGATGCACTTACGACAAATACAGTATGTGTAAAGTACAAATTGGCTGGGGGGTGGGGGGAAGGATGAAGGAGACAGATGGGATACTATTTCATTAGTAAAATGTCCAAGTAATACTATTTTTAAAAGATAGTCATAAGGAGCTCTGGTGATGCAACAGTTAAGGGCTCAGCTACAAACCTAAAGGTGGTAGTTCAAACCTATCCAGCTACTCTGTACAAGACAGATCTAGTGATCTGCTTCCATGCAAATTACAGCCACGTAAACCTTATGGGGGCAGTTCTTCTCTGCCACATTTGACTGCTAACCAGAAGGCTGGCAGTTTAAACCCACCAGCCACTCCTCAGAAGGAAGGTTGGGCAATCTACTTGTGTAGTGATACTACCTCAGAAACCCAAGGGGGGGTCGCTATGAGTTGGGTCCGACTGGATGGCAGTGAGTTTAGTTTTATCTCTACAGAAGTAGACTGCCCAACCTTCCTTTTGAGTTTCCTAGACTGTAAAAAATTTCAGAAGGAGAATGCGACAACTTTCACCCAGAAAGCAGCTGGTGGGTTTGAACCACCGACCTCTAGGTTAGCAGCTGAGTGCTTTAATCACTGTGCTACCAGGGCTCCTCTAATAAAATGCTACTTATAGTTAAAAAATAAAGGATTTCAAAAAAGGAAAACAAACCTTACTGTTTTGTTACATCGTTCTTCTGGCAAAGGGTGTTTAATGCTACATTGTTCTTCAGACAAAGTATGGTCAATGCTGCATTGCTCTTCTGGCAAAGCCTGGTCAACCTGTTCTTCTGGCAAAGGGTGACAAACTTTTCTAAGTTGCTTCCTGAGCCTTTCCTCTTCAGCCAAATAGAGATGTTTCAGATGATCTGGGTATCGATCTGTGAATTGGGATTCTTGTGAAGCTTGAGCCTTTTTTTCCTTCCTTAGCAATTTCTTGTAACTGTGCTGAATCTTCAGCTTTCTTCGAAGCGCAAAGCCCTGTCCTACATTGGAAAACGTCAGTCATCAATTACTTGCACAGAACATGATCAGTTGCATGAAAAATGTAGCTGTTCATTTTTTCTGTGTGCTTTAAAAGGTTATTTCTGGAAACAAAATCAAGGTGATCGATGCTGATCAACATTGATCAATGTTAACACTGCAAAAAGACCCAGCTAACACTAGTTAAACAGACACTCAACTTAGAGTCTCAAAAAAGGAAAACTGATCAATCCTAGATATTCACTCTGTATTCACAAATCAAAATAATTTAATTCCTCTAAAATACTTACTGTAGGTCTTCAATAAATATTTAAAATGGAAAAAAACATACACAAATATTCTTTCATCCCAGAGAAACTTATTTCTGAAAATACTTCCCCACAAAACCTTTTTTTAAAAAAGGAAACTTTCTGAACAGTTAGCAACTATCAGAACACTGAACTTATTTTATTTAATATTCCATACATTCCAAAAGCGATTTGAGGTAACTTGGAGGTAACAAGACAAAAAGAGACTAAAACCACTCATTGCCATAAAGTCAATTCACACCTATAGCCATGCTATAGAGCAGAGCAGGTATGCTCCATTAGGTTTCCAAGACTCTGAGTCTTTAGGACAGAAGAATGCCTCATCTTTATCCCGCGGGGCAGCTGGAGGGTTCGAATTGCGGTCCTACTGGTTAGCAGCCAAATGCCTTGACCACTGGGATACCAGAGCTCCTAAGGAGCCACTAGAGCAAAGGAAATAAAAAAATAAAGAGATAACTGGAGCGCTGCCTGGCTACTTGTAACCAGAGGAATTTGAGCCAGTATGCTAACTGGTAGGTGTCCCCCTCCCGCCCCTAACGCACTGCCATGTAGGTGGATCCGACTCACACCGACCCCTCCTTGGGTTTCCGAGGCGCCAGCCTTCTGGTTAGCAGTCAATTGCCTTAGGCACTATGCCACTAGAGCTCTCCCCCCCCCCCACCTCGCCCAAGGTGCCTGGAAGACAGGCTTGGCGATCTATTTCAGAAAAGTCACAGCTCTGAAAACCCTATGGAGCAGTTCTACTCTGCACACACTGGGTCACCCACCATGAGTCGGAATCCAGAGGCCACACGACAACAACCCTCTATCATGTACTGTAATATATCCATGAATCAGATTTGCATAATACATACCCAAGTGGACCCGGAGACGCTCTATGACTACGGTTTCACTAGGAAAATGTAGAGGAAAATCAAGAATAAAGTCAACTCCAAAAAGACGTTTAAAGTTAGCAATACTGCCCGTCTTCCCATGTAGAGCTCAGACAAGCTCACAACTTCACTGGGCTTACAAATGGATTTCTCTGCCCCAGTTAGGATCAGGTCTTCGTCCTAAACCCTTCTTCCTTGCTTCAGCGGGTCGCACGTCGGGCAACCTCATAGGCCTGAGTACTTTCAAAAGACTGCCTTCTTCCTTACCTTCACGGACACTCCCCACAAAGGCCTTCGGATGATTAATCCGCCATCTCCTCTGTTTCACATTCTTGTTCTTGAATTCGACCGGAGAAACCCCTTCGCCACGCTCCCCAAAACTCCCCGCGTGCCGGATTGCTGCCAGTTTCACTGACGCCATGGCCAACCACACCTCCTCCACAGCAGGAAACCACAACTGACGCCGCCAAAATACGTCACCAAGCCGAAGCAATCAATCGCCCAGGTACAGTCTCGCTCGGAGCTCGATTTATCGGGCCTGTACCACATTGTACAGAGCCCTTGCTCACAGCCGCGTTTGCGCCACCTACAGCCCAGGAGGGTAAGTGTCATGGCGGCTTCTTGCCCACTCCCGGAGACCCTGAACTTGCCCATGTTGCTTGCCAAATTGCAGGGACTGCTGCGATTCTTGAAGGATGCCTTGCACATTTCCAATGCACATACTGTAGACTTCTACACGGAATCTCTGTGGGACCAGCTGGTTGCCTTGCCCCCGGAGACAGTGCTGGCTGCTCTGAGGAGGTCGGCGGCGGAGCCTTCGTCCGGCAAGGCGTGCCCCTTTATGGAAGCAGAGCGGGAATCAGGTGAGCGGCCTGGTGGGAAAGCGGGCATGGCGGCAGAGAAGAAGATTCCGTCCTGCGAGGCGCGTCCCCTAGTGGAAGCGGAGTGGGATTAGGTGTGAGGCTGGGAGGGAGGAGGCCTGGCCGGTGGGCGCGCCCCCTGGTGGTAGCTGGAGGAATCACGTTTGTGGAGAAGTGACTTGAAATGTTCGGGTCTAGTGCGACTGGGGCACTCTTCTGCCCTTTTCCCCGGGGTGCTTTTGTATTTCCAGAAATTAAAAAGGTACAGGGTAGGGAGGTGCATTCATTTAATAATTCAGTCATGTTTTGCCTAGAGGGCAACAAGGAGAGCAGTGCTGTCACAGAGGTTATAGATTTTAGCTGGACACAAGGCAGAAGATAATCAACAGTTAAACAAATAAACAAGATAATTTCAGACGGTGATCATGGCCCAAAAGAAAACAAAACAGTATAAAGTGATAGTGTGTCACGAAGCAGCTCGAAGGCACGCGTCTTAAACTCCAGTCTGCAGTGAGTCACAGGAAAGAATTTCATGCCTGGGAAACAGCTGAGGCCCTCAGGTGCAAAGGAACAGGGCTGATTGCAGTTCAGGAAGGAAGTGAGAGTGAAACGAGTGAGAGATACCATGTGTAGTCATGGAGGTAGGCACTGGCTGGATCCTGCAGACCCTTCAAGCCTTGAAAGATGTTTGGATCTTAAGAGTGATGGAAAACAGCTGAAGTCATTTAGGCAAGAAAGTTACCTAATCTAATTTGTCGGTGGTGTGCCGTTGAGTAAGTTGCAAACCCGTGGTGACTCTGTGTGTAGCAGAAGGACACACTGCTGAGTCCTGCCCCATCCTCACAAGCGCTGCTGTAATTCAGCCCACTGTTGAAGCCACTGTGTCCGTCCATCTCTTTGAGGGTCTCCCTCTTTTCCACTGACCTTCTACTTTACCAAGCATGATGTCCTTCAGGGACTGGTCCCTCCTGATAACATGTCCAAATTATGTGAGAAGCCTGGACATCCTTGCGTCTAAGGAGCATTCTGGCTGTACTTCTTCCAGGACAGATTTGTTCATTCTTCTGGTAATCCTTGGTGTATTTAATAATCTTTGCCAACACCACAATTCGAAGGCATCAATTCTTTGATCTTCTTTATTCATGGTTCAGCGTTCGTGCACATATGAGGCAATTGAAAAGACCATGGCTTGAGTCATGCGCACCTTACTCCTCAAAGTGACATCTTTGCTTTTTTAACAGTTTAAAGAGGTCTTTTGCAGCATCAAATTTTTACGTGCCATAATCTAATTTACATTTTTAAAAAAGATAACTTCTTTATTTGAATAGAATAATGGAGCAAAACATTAGCTGGGAAGCTAGTTAGGAAATGATTTAGTAGTACAGGAGAAGATTATGTATTAGACTAGGAATGAAGATAAGGAATATTTACTAATTAATTTAACAACTACTTATGTGCCATGGAAGGAGCCCTGGTGGAATAGTGGTTAAGTACTCAGCTGCTAACCAGAAAGGTCAGTGATTTGAAACTACCAGCCACTCCATACGAGAAAGATGTGGCAATCTGCTTCTGTGAGATCACAGCCTTGGTAACCCTATGGCAGCTGTACTCTTTCCTACAGGATTGTTGTAAGTTGAGATCAACTTCTCAGGAACAGGAACAGGAAATTATGTGCCATGAATTTTTGTAGGCTCTGGCCTTTCCTGTTCTCAAGAAACTTAGATTCGATAAGGTGGCTATATTTTGGAAGTAAACTCATGAAAGAACACCAGTGGGCCTCTGGAATTTCTCCTAGCTTGCAACCCTACCTTTCTAGCCTTGCCCTTGCTGGTGAACTTTATTCATTGATAATTGTCTGAGGGCATTGCTCATCCACTATAGAGGCTGTGTATAATGGCACTTAGTAACTATTGGTTGATTTAAAGCCATTGTTTATTGTTAAGAAGTTATGGAACTCTTTAATTTGCTCTCATAAATCAGGGGTATGATAACATGACAACTTAAACTCCACAACAGCAGGGTCAAGTGCTGTACAGATAGTCCCTGACTTACGACTTATTCAGGTTACAATGAACTGCACTTACAACCATCCTTTTTTTTTGTACATCATATCGTTAGCAACGTGTACTACATACAGTGTTATAGCACATAATTTGTGGATGTTACTCTCAGATGTGATGTCTCCAACCCCCAACGACAAATAAATAAAGATCAGATTTATAAAGATACTGATAATAAATGGCAGTAATAATGAAAACTAAAAAACATGAGGTTTTCAATTTATGTCAGAGCTGACTTACAATGGAGTTGTCGGAATGGAAACTCATCATAAGCCTTGGACTACCTGTATTCCCAGCACCTATTAAAATTCATGAGGAGTTCTGGGGCTGCTAATCAGAAGGTCGGGAGCTCTGGTAGCATAGTGGCTAACACACTTGCCTGCTAACCAGACGGCTGGTGGTTCAAACCCACCAGCCACTCCTCGGAAGGAAGGTTGGGCAATCCTACTTCCGTAGTGATACTGCCTCCGACACCCAAGGAGGGGTCGCTATGAGTCGGGGCCGACTCGACGGCACATAACAACAACAACAACAATCAGAAGGTCAGTGATTCAAATCTACAACCCTCTCCACGGGAGAAAGATAAAGCAGTCTGCTTCCATAAACACTTACAGCCTTGAAAACCCTATAGGACACTTCTACTCTGTCTCTTAGGCTTTGCAAAGATGACTAGGAGGAGGCATCTTCTGACCTCCTCTAACTTCACAAGAGGAAGACAGAATCACCATCAGCAGCCCAAGGCTTTTTCCTATGAGGCCAGACATGCCACCACCCTGCAGCCTTTTACCAATTCTGACACCAATCATCCCTCCCATGGTACTCACTACTTCTCTGCTGGGTTCGATAATTCATTACAGGGGCCACACAGAACTAACAGACAATACTCACCTTTATGGGGTTTATTAGGAAAGTAACAGGCTATAATTCAGGTTCAGGAATGTACTTAGGATACAGTTCTTTGATCAGGACAGTCTCCCCTCTGCTGTGCCTTAAGACATGCCTCTCAGGCCCTTGACCTCTGAGCCTGGCCTCTGCCCTGCTTGGGCAAGTGTGTTACAAAACTCTTTTAGTTCTGCCAATAGGTACACCTAGGTGTACCCCACTCTGTTTGTAAGCCTCCTGTTCAAAGGCACTCAGCTTTCTCACTCCATGGGCCAGGTAAGCTTGCCACTCTGTGTCATGCCTCTTTGTTCCTCTGCCACCATCTCTCTGCCAGGGTTTCTTTCTCTGCCGGGGGGGTCTCTCTCAGTGGCATCCAGTGCAGGGATCTCGGGTCCAAGGATGTGCTCTACTTCACCTCCAGCTCTTCTCTCTTGATGGTAGTGAGATCCCCTCTCTGCTTCTAAACCAAAAAACCAAACTCACTGCTGTCGAGTCAGATCTGACTCATAGTGTCCCCTCCTTGGGTTTCCAAGGCAGTATTACTATGGAAGTAGATCACCCAGTCTTCCTTCTGAGGAGTAGCTGGGGGGTTTAAACCACCAGCCTTCTGGTTAGCAGTCAAATGCCTTAGGCACTAGGCTACCAGAGCTCTAGGATGGCTCATTTTAAGTTGGCAGAGTGACAACATTAACCGATCCAACATCAGAGTTCTACACATCTTATTTGCATGGCCCCACCTTAGTAATCTGGTGGGAATTAAAAGCCACTCGGGTAGCATAGTGCCTAAGGCACTTGACTGCTCACCTGAAGGCTGGCGGTTCAAACCCACCAGCCACTCCTCAGAAGGAAGGTTGGGCAATCCTACTTCCGTAGTGATACTGCCTCGGAAACCCAAGGAGGGGTCGCTATGAGTCGGGGCCGACTCGACGGCAAACAACAACAACAACAACAACCAAGTAATTCACTCTACTGCAGGCTTGCTTTGAGTTGGAATTGGCTCAGTATCATTGGAGAGTGGGAGTAAAATCCATGGCATGTGTTAATTGCTAATGGGTTTAATGAATTAATTAATAATTAGTAGTAGTTGACCATATAAACAAACATACGCTACCTTTAAGTATGACAAAAAAAAAGGAAAAAAAAATACCAAATGCACTGCTGTCAAGTTGTTTCCAACCCATAGCAACCCCGCCTTGGGTTTCTGGGGTGGTATCTTTATGGAACTAGATTGCCCAATCTTCTTTCCGAGGAGTGGCTGGTGGCTTTGAACTGCCAGCCTTCTGGTTAGCAGTCAAATGCCTTAGGCTCAGGGCTTTCTTATGGTCTTCATAAAATGAGAAAATAGTTCACCATATATATAATAATAATGTGATCCAGGTACTGTGCTAAGTGTTTTTATACATACTTTCTCTTTTCATCTTTACATCAGTAGGTGGTGTAACATAGAAATAACAACATCAAAACTGATTTAGAATCCTTAGGGTTGAGAACTAGGATCAGCTCAAAACTGCTTCCTGTGAGTTAGTGGTCAGACATGCCTCCACTCTCCAACTTTTTCAACGTTTCTTACCCCAGCAGCCGTCCTTCCCATGGCACTCTCTACTTCTTTACTGGATTCAGTGATTCATTGCAGTGACCACACAGGACTCACAGACCATGTTTTGAATTAAGTGGTTTATTAATTAATTAACAGGGTACAACTCAGGATCAAGAAACATGTAGGCAAAGTCTGGAAGTCTCCCCCAAAGTAGAGAGCACATCCTGCCTTGCTTCAGTGCAGGACAGTTTTCTCAGCTCTTCTTGGGCATGTGAGCAAGCAGGGCCTTCTTTCTGCCATGCAAAACCCCTGTCAGCCATGCTGGTCTCCTCTCAGCCCTCTCAGGATGGACCTCCTCTTGGCCCCCTCAAGAGATGCCTCCTTTTGGCCATGTGTAGCCCTTCTCAGCCTTACAGCCCTCCTTACAGCCCCTTCAGGACAGGCCTCTTATTGGCCATGCATGCTCCCTCTGAGCCATGCAGGCTTCTCTGCCTTTGGCCATCCTACTGTTGGCCTCTCCACTGCTAACTGACCCAGCTCACTGCTAGCGTAGCGTCTTCCTCAGCTCTCTTAGCTGCATTTCTAGCAACAAGTTTCTGCTGTCAC